TGCCCGTGCAGCACCCACCACACGTCAACCTTTGCCTGCCCTTCTCCTCCTGTCTCTAGCGACTTCAATCTGACCGACTACGACTACCTGCCCGTGTCTTCTGAAATCAAAGAGCTCTTCGAGTACATCAAGAGGTGAGGGGGGGGTGTTTCATTGGGCTCCTGGCTCTCCTGTGTCGTTTGCGGTGGCAAGTTTTGCAGGGCGGTTCATAGTCACCGACACCGTGGTGTGCGTTCTTTCCAGGTACACCCCCAAAACAATTGAGATCGAGCACAAACTGCAGCCTTTTATCCCAGACTTTATTCCTGCCGTTGGGGACATTGACGCGTTCCTAAAGGTACAACCGCATCGTGTTCCTCCGCACCTCCTGCTGCAGGGGCCAGGGCCGTGTCTGTCCCCACAACCACGCGGACCCTCACCCCGCGCTGTCAGAGAGCTGGGAGACCACGCTCTGCTCCGTCACCTCCCACACGGCGCAGACGTAATTGGGGGCTTCCCTTGTCCCACACCTCACGCCTGTCGGGTAGCGCAGCAGGAACAGCTCCTGTGGAAGCGGGGTCTCTGTCCCTGCAGGTCCCCCGTCCCGACGGGAAGCCCGATAACCTTGGCCTGCTGGTGCTGGACGAGCCCTCGACCAAGCAGTCGGATCCCACCGTGCTGTCCCTGTGGCTGACGGAGAACTCCAAGCAGCACAACGTCGCAGTGAGTTGGGGAGGGGGAGGTTGCGCCTGCTGCAGCAAAACCATCACATTTTAATCTACTCTTGTCTTCGTGACCTCAGTGTCATTGCACTGGGCTTTAAATTCAGAAAAAACTGACCTTTATAGCTTTAAACTGCAATGGTCCCACATCTCGGTACAGGCTTTGGATCTGCGTCTTCAGGCAAAGCTGCGCTTCCTTTTGGTTGCCACTGAAGTTTTACCCGGTGTTTGGTTTCCCAGCTGCTCTTGGGTCTGCAGAGAACCAGTTGGTGTGGAGCAACTGGGAAAGAGAAAACACATGGTTAATCAGGAGCGAGAGCAGCAAGACAGCCCAACACGCCTCAGAGTGCTGCTGTCCAGGTTTCTGTTTCTGTTTGTAGCAGCAGATAAAGGTGAAGAGTTTGGAGAACGCAGAGAAGAACCCCAAAGCCATCGAGAACTGGATCGAAAGCATCAGCGAGCTGCACCGCTGCAAGCCCCCCGCCATGGTCCACTACAGCAGGTGAGCTGTGCCCCCAGCGCTGCTGCTCCCACGCTCGCGCAGCGAAGCTCGGGTCAGGGGGAGGCTGGGGGCAAAGTCCAGGAGCGCCGTGGGAAACGGTCAGAAATCTGTCGCAGAGGGAGGACGGGCTGGTTTTCGGGGTAGTCGTGCCATGTGTGTGCTGAACACTGCGCTTCCCTCTCGGCACCTC